AGAGAAAATTGCTCATTTTCTGATGTAGGCAAGTGATGATACTTCTGGGTAGTTTAGTAGAGCCAAGTGTGTGTATGGGGATGGCACTAAGGACATGTTTGATAAGAACAAGCCTTCCACTCTGGGATAACAAGTGCTTGGTCCAACCTTGCAGCTTTTTATCAAAATGATTTAGGAGGTCATTGCAGTAGTTCTTCCTATTGATTCCTCTGTGGATTTGAGTGCCCAGGTATTTGAAAGGGAATTGGCCTCTTTGCATGTTGAGAATTTTCCCCATTTTTGTTGCATGAATTGTTGGTGTTTTGTCTGGGGTAAAGAATGAGCTTTTGTGTAAGTTGATCTTCTGTCCAGTAGCTCTTTCATATTCTCTCAAAAAGTTGGTGATCTTGGCTAGGTTATTGGCAGCACCATTAGTGAAAATCAGTAGGTCATCAGCAAATGCTAAGTGTGTAATAGGCATGTAGTGTCTGCCTAACTTGTAAAGGCTTAGATTCCCCTTATCTGTTTCCTGTTTTATGGTTCTGCTGAAACTTTCTGCTGAAAGGATGAAAAGAAGAGGAGAAAGAGGGTCTTAAGCACACATATATATATATATATATATATATATATATATATATATATATATATATATATATATATATATCTGTGTGTGTGTGTTTTAGCCCGAAAATCCACCAAAATCAGTGGGGTAAGGTCCAGGCAACCCTTACCAATTATTATTAACAAAAACAATTAAAGTACACATTCAGGGAGGATTAGACCAAAGCCCCGAAGGTAAACAAAAAGTACACGTTCGGGGAGGACTAGTCCGAAGCCCCGAAAGTAAAAAATAAAATAGAAAATGCAAGAAAAAAGTCAAATGAGCCAAATGTGCCCAGACCTGAAACTGGACCATCCTCGTTACATATCCTCTAGCGCCGTTATAGGGCACTGTCGACTAAGGCTCCCCGCTTCGCAACATGGAGCAGGTTACCCATCCCCTCTTCTACACCATTTAACTCCAGTCCTTACCGTCTCTGTCTGAAGTAGATTAGTTCTATTTTTCAATTCCATCCCAGACACGAAAAAAAGATTGAGTGAAAGGGGTTGAATTGGGATGACGGGGGTTGCAGACTTGCAGGTCTGCGACGATGGGGGTGGGGGGTTGCGACGGGGGTAACGATGGCGAAAGGTTGTGGAGGCAGGGGGAGGGGCGGTGACGAGAACATAGGCAGACAAGGACGTGGTGCCGAAGAGCGGTCAGTGAACTGTCGCCGGCATTGGCAACACCGGTAGTCGGTAGATGGCTTATGGCACTGGAGAGGGAAAATAAGTTGAGGGGTATAATGGGAAAGTCAATACAATTTTTATCACACATAAATTTGCGTGCCTGGTCAAACCGGGAAGTTCTTTTATGGACGGAGGGAGTATTTCTTTATCTTGATAGAAAATGAAGAAGAATTAAGGGATATATAGGCTGCGAATTTATTTTAATGACATTGATGACATCATACTCTGTATTTCTTAACAATATTCCACACTTCTCATGCTGGAGCATATATAATTTGTTTGAAAGTTTTTACAAATGCAAGTTTTTATGGTACCTCTAAGTGATTTTGTTTGATGAGTACTGAGGTAGTGGGTGACTATGATCTTCTCTCGGATAAATTGACAATCAATTTCAATGTGGGTGTGGCTGCTCATCTCAGATTGTACTAGTGTACTTGATGTGTACTGATGCTTGAAAATCTCACTTTAACCAAATTGGTTCTTTCCTCCCATATAATATTTCTGGGAAGAGGAGTTTGTGTTTCATTGAGAACCATTAAGCTCTCATATGCAGCTCGAGCCACCATTTCTTTGTATTCTGCTTCTGCACTTGATTTGGTAACCGAATCTTATCTCAGCTCTTCCACAGGATTAAGTTCCCATCTATCAAGATATAATACCCCGATGTGGCCCCTAGGCCCTAACATCATCGTAGTATGCCACAATATTGCCATGACCTTTATCTTCATAGAGTAATCTTTGCCCTAATGTGTTTTCGATATACATAAAACTCGTATAGTAGCATGCGAATGATCATTACATTGTTTGTTAAGGAATTTACTGCTTATTTAATGGTAAATTAAATGTGCATGCTCAAGTGATTGTGAGATAATTCAATTTTTCGATGGCAGTTGTATTTCTCTACTCTATGAGCAACTCTATACCGGAAGGAATTAAACATTCAGATGCATAGGTATATCCACAGGGGTACAAAGTACAACCCAACATACAAGATTTTGTAGTCAATTATTGATGTTAGAACTATCTCTGGAATTTTTAGAATATAAACAAATCCTGATAGTAAAATACATTGAAATATATTCAAGTCCATGTAGAATTAATACAATCCATGAATTGAATACATTTGCCTTTTGAGAGCTATTATTAGATTTCAAAACATCACTATTCCCCTTCCGGCTTTCCTTTGATCAAGCATGTAATGATCATGAGTGCTCATGTGACCCTTTCAGGCTTTCCTTTGAGCTTAGCTTTTTAAAATTTCATTACCCCAACCTGGACCTAGCATAATTTTTAAAAGGGAATCTGATAAAGCTTGAGTCGAATTGATTGAATTTAGAATGAAAAAGTGTACATCAAGTCCCAATTCGAGAAGGGATAGTCTCCAGACTCTCAAAGGAAAATATAATGAAAAATAATCACACCTGAAAATAACATGACTCAAGCAATAAATCCCACTCCGAGGGGAGATGGGTTACTGCTACGTAACCACCCACTCAGCCATTTAGTCGGTTGTTTGAAATGCCCATTAACATTTTGAGCTGCTCCACTTCTGCCGGCCCACCCTGTGCCAAATGCTTTTTCCTTCTTGAATACACCAATCTGATTGGACACTTATCAGAATCCAAATATACAATATTAAATTTAAGGTTCTATATGTTGTGACCTTTAATACTCAATTGGCCATTGTTATATCTGGACTTGTTTGTTTATTTTTTCCTATACAGGTTGGTTCATTATTGTGAGTATTTTGTAGTGTCAATGGTTCATGAGAAATGTAACGCCCCAAAACATACCTTAGAATTATTAATAGATAATTATTAAAATAAATCAAATTTGTTTTAGTTAAAATAAATTGTTATGGGCTTTGGGCCGATAAAAATATGTTTCGATATCCCATATCATAATCAGGATAAATCTCATAGAGATAAATCCAATTTATTGACTATTTGTGTGGTCTTGATTGGGAACCTGAGTATAGACCCAAATCAAGATTAAATGAAGAAATTAATTATGATGTGAACATTAAAATGATTTATTGAAATAAATGATGAGAATAATTAATATGAATTAAATATGAGAACTTTTTTTTTTAAATAAAGGTCAACTGAATCAATTTTTACTCTATCAAAGTCAACCACCCAAAAATATGATGTCGGAAAGAGTATTACAAATAATTATGAAAAATATATCGTTGAATAGAATTCGACTGTCTGGTCGCAACGATGCGAACGGATTTCAATTTAGAGAAAGTTGGACCAAAAAGTGTACCCCGACTGGAACCAAAATTGGTCCCAATCAGAGAACTGTTCAGTCGGCGCCTTCGAACGCACTAGCCGATCAATCATCATCATCTTGCGTCTTCTTCTTCCTCACCACTCTATATAAGAAAACCCAACTCACTCAATTCTTCACCATTTCTCACAAAACTTCTTCCTATTCTGTTGCTCTAAGTAAGGAGAACGCAGTGGTGCCGTCAATTTGGTGAGAGGTCCCCGGAGTTGGGACTAATCGTCGCCGGAAGTTTCGCCGTAAAATTTCCAAAACCTCCGTTAAGCTTCGAAGTAAGCCCGTAGATATATCTAATGACTAGAATGTTCATATAGGTCGTTTCAACGTTCATAAATGGTCATTTGGTTGAGTTTTGTGTTTGACATGCTTGAAGAACTAAGAATCATAAACCATGAAATTGATGTTAAAATTATGAATTAATGATGCTAAAATGATCTATGAACCTTGGAGAACATTTTTATATACTTTAATTGAAGTTTGGTGAGTAAAAGTGACATTTCCGCAAGTTGGCTCGAGGTAGAAGACGATGGAAAATCGATTATCAACTTGAAAATCGATTATTCATCGTTCTGCAGATTTTTGTAACAAAGCTGAGCAACAGCCGATTATCAGAATGTGATAATCAACTGTCAGCCCTCTCTGAAGTTTGATAATCGATTATCTCGGGTAAGACTTGTAGTCTGTCATCTAATAGTCTTCACTGTCATCTGACAGTGGGATGTGATAACTTCTTTTACTTCGATTATCGATTATCAACTTAAAGGATAGTATATAATTAGTTAACAATAAATCTTTTATACTAAAAACTCAATACCTTAGGATATAAAACTATGGTTTGGTAATACTAATTATTTTCCTACTTTTCTTGGAATAAAGATGGTATTTTAACAACTAAAAGGGATCTTATGTGATGCATGACAGTAAGCTAGGGTGTTAACACTCGATGCTAGGCCGCTAATTGTTATTAGTTATTATGATGATTGATTGATTGTTCATTTTTATGAATATTATGGATTAATGATGATGAATATTCTGGATGAAATGATTGTTGAACTAAGAGTATGAATTGAAGAATAATGTTGTTAAGGATATCTAGAAGAACTTTAAGATATACCTATTAGCTAATTAATGTTAAGACTATCTAGAAAACCTCTAGAATAGATCTTAGAATGAACTTATGAAAACATGAATAGTTGATGAATTAGATATAAATTCATAAACGGGATTCGTAGACCAAACTAGAGGATTACTCGTTGGGAATGCCCGATCCATTGTTGACCAATCGCTATATTGTTGTTGCCTTAACTGACTACAGTTAAGTGTCCGAAATCATTTGCCTTAAACTAGTCATAGTTTAAGTGTCTGATTGCCTTAACTGACTACAGTTAAGTGTCCGAAATCAATTGCCTTAAACTAATGATAGTTTAAGTGTCTGATTAATAATTGTCTTTTAAGAATCTGGTTATGGAAATTATGATTTGGCCTTAGACTAAGAATAGCTAAGAGCATTATCATGATCTGGCCTTAGACTAAGAATAGCTAAGAGCGTTGTTATTATCTGGCCTTAGACTAAGAATAGCTAAGAGCGTTGTTATGATCTGGCCTTAGATTAAGAATAATTTACGAGCACTATTGGATTAATATCTGAATTGAATAAAATGTGTTGATATGAACTGAATAATACCAAAACTGTGAATGTCTGAAATGAACATTGTGTGCATGATATCAAATGATTTGATTATGAATTTAGATTCAGTTTATGTGGATGTTCGACGCATTAGATATGCTTACTCAGCTTTACCGCTGAGCGTGTAGTGTGTTTTATTTGCTAGACGCAGGTAAGCAGAAAGCACAATGTGATCCTGGCAGAAGATGGGGCGAGACTGTCGGGATGGATGTGACAAGTTTTGAAACAATTTATGATATGTCAATATTAAAATCGCTTCCGCAATATTGTTGAATACTTCGTACTGTATATGTTATGAAAAATATTATTGGGATTAATCAAGTGTGTTTGAAAAGTTTTAAATTTTTACGATTACCAAGTTAAATACTTTAGTCCGAATGGGGCTGCAGACCTGGACGGATTAGGGTGTTACAAAAAGAAATTAATTTTGAATGTAGATGAGTGGAGAAACTTCCTTACTCGGATTGGCCGTGATGAAAACACATCAGAATCTGATGTTAGTAATAATCCCAATGATATTCTTGAATTGCGTTTTTGGGCCTCATACAAAGGGCAAACATTGGCTAGGACTGGTACGCGTTTCACTCATATATTTGCTGTCTTATGCCACCAATGTTTTGTCACGTACAACCTATGCTGCGTTCAGCTGTTTCTACATCAAAACCCATAATAATCCCAAGCCTGTTTGGGTATGAAGGTGAAGATGTACAAAAAACTGAGCGTGTCTTTCCATTGGACCTTTTGATGCATTGTTGCTTTTACTACCTAAAACTTCATAGAAAGTAATTAGAAAAAAAAGTTTAGTCCTCTATTACTTGAAGTAAAAACATTGTCACTAACAACTCTTTTAGCTCCAATGGCATGGATGCATGCATTCAACTCTTTGTGTTAACAAATAATGAATGAAGTAATTTTTGCATTCCGTTTTTGTTCCCTAAATTTTCCTTGCTCAATCAATATATAAACTAGAAATAAAAAAGTGGTTTGCTAGGAAAAACCATTTTTTACCAAGTGGAAACACAATATGGTATGTGCTCATTTTTATTTGGTTACTTTGAAAGGAGAAAGGGTGAGAATCTAGCTCAGAAAATATATTAAGATTTGTAAAAAAAATAAATGGCTTATATTTTGAACTTTGTTGAGATGTGCTTATTCTTATACTCTATTATTTTGGTTTAGAAACACAATTCTTTGGGTTTTGCAGTGTGTGGAATGATGTACTACCGAAAAGCTCTCATGCTTCAAGCATATTTGGAAAGGGTGGCAGCTCAAGGTTATCATATACGAGATGAAGTTATTATGTTCTAATGTTCTTTTTCTCATTAGTCATTACTGTGGTTGTTTACTAAAAATACTCTAGTACATGCATCTTTAGATTCTAAGGCTGCAATTTCACCGAGCAAAGCAACTGATACCCAAGGTTTTGAGTTGTCTCTTGAAGCAAGAGCTCAAGTAGATCTCAAATTTACCTATGTAGTTACCTGCCAAATATATGGGAAACAGAAAGAGAATCAAAAGCCTGAGGCTGCGGATATTGCATTACTAATGCAAAGGTGATCAAATGGCAATCTCTTTTATTTAGAAATTAATTGATGATAACCTCTTACCTTACACAGAAAGCCTAAGAGCATGTTCTCTTCGACTTATCTCATTACTTTGATATATTAAGGTGGAAATCTTTCTAGTCTAGTCTCATTTAATTCCAATTAAAGTTAGAGTTGTATATGTTTCTGATTTGGTGTGGTCTCATCTGAATTTTTCGATCATAATCTGATTCGAATACTAATAATCAATAAGTAATAACTCTCATTCATCAATATCTGAGTTTCATTCATTGCGATCCATTTTTGTAGAAATGAAGCACTTCGAGTTGCTTTCATTGATGAGGTTGAGACATTGATTGAAGGTAAAGTGCACGAAGAATACTTCTCGAAACTTGTGAAGGCTGACATCAATGGGAAAGATATTGTTTGTCCTTTTATTACTATTTTTTGTTATTACTCCGAGTTCTATTACTTGAGTAGGTGCCCATCTTTGTTGTTTTCTATAAACAAATTTAAAAGAGCTTGCATTTCTTCTGTTTTTGACAAATTCAGAAGAACTTGCAAGGTGCGTTACTTTGCCACTCTATGCATGGTTTTTATGTTGTCCACTATTCGACCTTGGAAAGGGGTGACCGGAGTAAGCGATGCTGCATCACGCCGACAGATCTGAGATTTAATGGATAAAATGGTAAATAGAAACTATGAATAAATATTTAATCAATTATTTAAATCCTCTCTTGGAAAAAACATAACAAGTCCTATTTAGGGAATTTGTGGTTTTGTTTTGCTCTTTTCGATTCCCCATGTTCAGTTTCTTTTCATTTTTAATTTTTTAAATTTTCTTATTTATTTAACCTTTTTCGGGTGGGGGTGGGCCACGTGATGGGGATGTTATGTTTGTTTCTGCTTTTTTACTCTGTATAAATTAATACAGAGTACATCACACTACATAGACTTGAAATATTCTTCCTTATCTTCCAATTTATCACTTTAGTTTTTACCTTCCTTTTAAGACCTTATCTAAATAATGTTTCTATTTACCCCTAGACTTATGTTTTCTTTTATTTTTATATTTTGATATGAACATCAATAAAAATATTGTTATCATTATTATTAAGTTTATGGTTATGATTATTATTATTACTATAATTATTATTATTATCATTTTTAATTTCCTATTACTAGTCTTATTCTATTTTAGTCAATATCCCTAAATAAGGATTCAGGTTTCCTAGTATGATTATGATAGGTGTCTTTTAAGGTTTTGCCCATTTATACTCACACAATGATTAATTAAATGATGAATGGTTGAAGTCTAATATCTAATAATGAGATTTTAGTCACCACGTGCTCTCCCCTCCTAGTCACAAACAGGGAAAGATATTCTTCTTCCACGTTTGCTAATACATTTGTAACAATTTGGTATTAGAACCATTTTCATTCCTACCCTTTTTATCCCTCTTGCTCCTTTGGTTTTTTTTATAACTAGAAAATGTCAACAATAGAAAAGTGGTTGGATTATTTTGTGTGTGATGTTTTTGTAGCGTGAGATGGTGGGGGGTTCTAGCTAGAAAATTCTTGCATCGTATTTTAATTTTTTATTTTTCTGATGTATTTTTTTAAAACTAGAAAAAGCATACAAAGAAGTTGAAAAAAAGTCAGAAAAATAGAGTTTCAGACTTTGTGCATCTTTGTTTCTAAATTATTGTTCTGTTGATGAGTATGGTTTATACTGTGAATTTGCAAAGAGATCAGTTCAACATATTGAAAGATGTCGCAACATGAATATCAATATCAATCGCAATATCCACAGCCTCTTCCACCATCACCGCCCTTGGGTCAAAAGCTTTATCCACAGTCCTATTCGACTACTGTCGTTACTGCCAGGCTTATCGATGGTGCAAATGGCACGCACCATATATGCGCCATTGGCCATTGGGCTCATAATCACCACAAATCTGGTTGTGGCAACCATAGCAATGCCATTTGGGCGCCATCCCCATTCGTGCCACATTTTTTCTTTTTGCCCAAAGTTTTATTTATCCAATATATTTGGGCCCAATCGAATAAAACCCTTTATTGAGATTGACGATACTCAATTAGTCAATCATCTCTCACTCTCTCTAGTCATTCATCTTCTTCACACACAACGTCGCCATCACAACTTTTCTTCTTCTTTGCTAGTCGCGGCTTTAGAAGGGAAGAATGTTGCATGTTGCGCGACTCTGATATGGGATCATTGCAACTCTGCTACATGCCTCTCTCTGCAACCTCTGACTTCCTGGACCTCTTGGGAGTGATGATAAGATATTCATATTTTAAATTGCTAGATCAAAGTTTTTATCAACTTAATTTTGAATTAAGTTTTATGTTTTGCTTGGTGTTTTGGAATGATTTTTTTGTCGTGCTTTTATTTTCAACATGACGATTTAGATCAAGTACTCTATTATTTTTTACTCATTTTATGTCTCATACATTTATGAATTTATTAAATTGGTTGTGTGACTGGTGTCCTGTGGCGATGCCATATATGCGTCATGGCCATTGCCATGCGCCATGAAAGCTATTTACCACATAAGCATGCAGAAGCTATTACTGAAGTTGTAACTGAGTCGCAAAAGACCATTGTCAATTAACCCACTTTATTTGGCAAGACAAGAATTCATGGTTGGTTATGCACATGCCAGTTGAGGAATAATGGTGTAGTAATTGTCTATTTCACAAGAGGCAAGTCACATCTAGCTCTGCAAAGTTCATCACTTAGAGTGTCACGGTAATTCTTAGGGTTATATCATCAGTTGGTTCTTTCCTGTGTTGTACTCTACTAAACGAGTGCTTATATTTTGATTTCGTTTGCTCGTGGAAAGTGCTGGTGCTGCGTATCTCTCTCTTCACAGCTTGAGGACAAGCTTGATGTTCGGAGGGGTGTAATGATATAGTCATTAATATCATTCTTGTTACTATTGGTGTTGGTGGTGATGATGATGTTGTTGTTATTATTTTGAGTTGATTATTATTATTATTATTGTTTTTATTATTATTTTTATTTTTATTTTTATTTTTATTTTTATTTTTATTTTTATTACTAGTCTCCTATTGGTAGTTTTACTCTATTTTAGTAAATATCCCTATATCTGGAATCATGTTTTCTTGTATTATTATGGTAGGTTTCATCACTTTCTTGTAAGGCTTTGCCTTTTTATACTTAGACAATCCTTAATAGAGTTTTGAATCTTGGACATCAAATATCAATTTATGAGAAGTTAGTCACAGATTGCTCTCCCCTCCTTTTGGGTACGGGCAAAGAAGGATATTCTTCTTCAATGTTTGAGTACGTGTTCTGCAACTAAGTTTTGTTTCAACACCGATTGATGTTTATTCTATTAGCTTAGCAACTGTATTTTGAGTTAATACGGGTATTATACTTATTTACTATATATCTACTCAACGCGACTTGCCGACGTGACAACCATGACTTTCTGAATTCAAAGCCCCTACATGAAAACGTTATCTGGAGGAATGGAACAAGGAAAAATCCATAAACAGAAAGATTCCACTAAATCGGAATAATTCGCCAAATGTAGCCATTTCTACCATATTTTATGTTTTAATTGCTGTTAGAATCATTACAGGAAATATATTCTGTGAAATTGCCTGGAAATCCAAAGCTTGGTGAAGGGAAACCTGAAAATCAAAATCACGCTATTATATTTACACGTGGGAATGCAATACAGACCATTGATATGAATCAGGTGACTAATAATTTTTATATTGATATTGACCTTAATGTTATTTACAAGGCAAATTGATAGTACATATTTTTTTATTTATTTCTCTTTGTATGTGGACAGGATAGTTACTTTGAGGATGCTTTGAAGGTCAGAAATCTTCTTGAAGAATTTTACTGTGACCATGGAGTTCGCCCCCCTACTATTCTTGGTGTTAGGGAGCATGTGTTTACTGGAAGGTATGGTATTAGAGGTATTTTGTCCCTTACAGAGTTCATTTATTTAGGCTTCTGACTCTTTAAACTTGTGCATCTTCTCAGTGTTTCTTCTTTAGCATCCTTCATGTCTAATCAGGAATCTAGCTTTGTGACTCTTGGCCAACGTGTTCTAGCAAATCCTTTGAAGTGAATTCACGTTAATCGTGAATATTTGTTGTTCCATGGCATTTACAGAGTAATCATGAAACTATGAAAGAAAAGTCTGTCTAACTTGTATTTGAAATGATCATCAGGGTTCGTATGCATTATGGGGGTTCGTATGCATTATGGTCATCCAGATGTCTTTGATAGACTATTCCATATAACTAGGGGTGGTATCAGCAAAGCATCTCGTGTCATAAATATTATTGAAGATATTTTTTCTGGTAAATTTACTTCACATTTAAGGGGATTTTGTTTCATAATTTAATGTTATTGTGTTTAATGTTAATCTTATGGGTGTAGAGTTTGGGAAATATACTATATTAACTGCGTGTTAATCCTTACTATATGTTCTATATTTATATGCATGGCCTATAGTTAACATTTGTTGAGTTTATTTAAAACATTCCTAGTCAAATTGGAGCATATAAGTTACAGTTTACATGATACATAGAGAATGTTTGCTACCAAAAAAACCATTTCGTATGTCTCAGAAAGACTTAAAACCCTGGATATCTCTTCGAATTAATCTATCGATTTTATGAAGAATGATGCACCTAGGCATAATCTATTACATATTTACATGGTGAGAAAAGATAGCCATTCTTTCAACTTTAGATTTGTCCTTTCCATGACATACAAGATGCTACTACCTAAGTTATCAGACGACATACAAGCTGGAAATTTACAGCTTGAGTTGCCTTCCTCCACCTGTGGCCTCTGCTCTTGCTACTACGACGGCACATGGAATTCCTTGTGGCGCTTGGAGGAATTCCTAGCTTTTAGATGCTGCGGCCTGTCTAATCCGGAACCCATACGTTGGAGTATATTTTGCCATGGAGTAGATCTTCTAAAACTATTAAGTTGAAAGAAAGAGATAAAAAATGAAGGGAGAAAAAGAATAATGGAAGAAGAAGATGGCAAGTACAAATCTGATGGAAGAAGAAGAATCGACAGGGAAGAATGAAGAAAGAATGAAAATGTGATGGCTGTCGGCGGATAAATCTAGAGTTAGAGTGGAGTAATGAGGGAATAGAATGAAAAAGGGTAAATAAGGTATTTTACACAATGATTCGCCCAATAAGGAAATGGAAAGAAAACTTTAAAATGGTCCGGAAAGGAATGTGAGGAAAATTTCTGGACAGAAGGAGTTATAATTAATGAAACCCTAGACTCATAACATCCATGTACCTTTAATAATCTTCAAAAATTGTGGCAATGTATTATAAGCATGAAGTGGATTCGACACAAGTCCATAGTGGATCAAATCAGCTTATGCGCGTAGGTTTGTAATGTAACGACATGTTGTAATGCCTTTTCTTCATATCAACTAAAATGCAGGATTCAATTCAACTTTGTGTCAGGGCAATGTTACTCACCACGAATACCTCCAGGTTACTAAATTCTCTCTCGCTGGTATTGGAGGTCGTATTTCATGATACTTATCAGCTAATGATATCACTAATGATGTTGTATAGGTTGGCAAGGGACGAGATTTTGGACTCAATCAGATTGCTTTGTTTGAGGGGAAAGTTGCAGGTGGAAACGGGGAACAAGTCCTTAGTAGAGATGTCTACAGGCTTGGTCAGCTTTTTGATTTCTTTAGAATGCTATCGTTCTACTTCACAACTGTGGGATACTACTTTTATACCATGGTACACAGTTCTTTCCAATGGAATACATGTAGGGAGCGGCTAAATACACCCCATTACTTTCTAAATACACCCAACTCCTACTCAAACTTGCAGAACACAACGAAGGCACTTGACCAACACTAGCTTAGCATCTGTTTGGCGAGCGTTCTTTGGACACTCATTGACTTCCAACTTCAGTGATTACCAGAACACTCATCATTGTGTGAGGCTGTTAGCAGAGTGTTGGTCGCACAGTACTTCTTCAGCAAACACTAGTGTTTTCTGACACTCTTAAATGTGCTAAATCAATTTTGCTAGATTGATTTTTTTTCTTCAAAATTAGGTGCATCTATTAAACTAGGGGTGCAAATTGCCGCATCCTAACTTTTATTAGATGTCATTTACAAGTATTGCTATTGCTTGTTTTGGTTGTCTATATACTTGAACATGTAAATTGCTATTTGCCTCATGTATCTAATGGCTCGCTATCATTTGTTTATGTAGTTAACAGTCCTCAGTGCTTACAGTTTTCTCTATGGGAGAGCCTATTTGATATGTTCTGATACATAACTACATTTTTTTATCACTAAGTCATGGTTATTAAGGCGTCGCCTAATCGACGCTTAGGCAGTAAGGCGGTCTACCATGGATGCCTTAATGGATGAATCCCATCTGATGTACTGTAATTGTTAAATTTTACAAGCTATATTCCCGATGGATGCACCTGAATTTCTTGTCTCAGGCGTAATCTGGGGTTGGTGAAACGATTCAAGAAAGAGCAGATATATTTGATAATGCTGCTCTCAATGCACAGTTTCTTTTTCAGATTGGTGTATTTAGTGCAGTGCCAATGATTTTGGGTTTCATCTTGGAACAAGGATTCCTGAGAGTATGTTATTCATCTCTTGATTTTCAGCTGTTATCATTTCTTCAAAATGCAGCTATTCCTTCAAAAAGTTTCTGTTTTGTATAATTGTTATTCATTTCTTTGGAAATAAATGCCAGATCATCGTGCCTGCCAATTTTGCGTCTGCNGATGGATGCACCTGAATTTCTTGTCTCAGGCGTAATCTGGGGTTGGTGAAACGATTCAAGAAAGAGCAGATATATTTGATAATGCTGCACTAAATGCTGCTCTCAATGCACAGTTTCTTTTTCAGATTGGTGTATTTAGTGCAGTGCCAATGATTTTGGGTTTCATCTTGGAACAAGGATTCCTGAGAGTATGTTATTCATCTCTTGATTTTCAGCTGTTATCATTTCTTCAAAATGCAGCTATTCCTTCAAAAAGTTTCTGTTTTGTATAATTGTTATTCATTTCTTTGGAAATAAATGCCAGATCATCGTGCCTGCCAATTTTGCGTCTGCGTTTTGTATTCAAAAAACATCAACATTAAACCCAGCCTAATCCCTACTCCGTTGGGGGGTGTGGGGAGTCAAGATGTACGTAACCTTAGCCTTTAAGAAAGCAGAGGTTGTATCGTTAGACTCTTGATGTGTTGATGCATTAAAACGCCATTGGAAGTTAAGAGATAAGAGAAGTTCAATTTTCATTTTGATTTAGTTCATTACGTTCTCAAAGCTTAAACATTGTCAGACATGACTCTATTAGCATGTCTGACAATGATTCTTCCCACATGACTCGAAGCTAAATTATTGGACAAGCTAAATATTTTATATACTCCCTCCATTTAATAATTTTGTTCTCAGTTACCTTGGGGCTTCCCATTTCCTTATTTGGCGTTTTCAAAATGTAAAGTGTTGTACTCACAACATATTTTCTCCAATCTCATTCACACCCTCCTCTGCCCATTTTGCGTAGCCACATTTTCTTTGCATCTCGTCTTTTTCAGTTCTTTCCTCTAACATCCTCATCATCATCATCATCTGTTCAACTATCGCCCCCGTTCCAAACTTGTGTTCTTCCACCCAACATCCTCCTTCGAGTCCTCGTCATCTTCTTTATTTCAACTCGTCTTCCTCCCCTTTTGAGCAGGACCTAAGGCGTAGCATGGTATTGCATCTCCGATGGAGCTGCACTGTCGGGTGGTGTCATCTCCGTTGGATCTCACCGGATGGTGTAAGTGTGTAACCCATGCTTGATTTGGATGGATCTAAGGGTGTAAGCATTGGCGGATATTCTTGATCTGAGGGTTTAAGCTGTGATGGCTCTCTGTCAGATCTAAGGACTCTGATTCAAGTTTGTGGTGATGGTGGTCAGCAGCGACGGCTATTCCGGTGGCGGAGTATGCCCTGGAGTCGCGATTCATGGGGGCATGGCCGGATGGAATGAGCCGCAAGTTCTAGGAGGTGGGCTGATGGCGTAGAGTAGTAGATAGAGAGGGTTGGGTCCAGGGTATTTTAGGAAAGCCAATGTCATCTCACAAAAACTTGTGAAGAAAAATAATGGACAGAGGGAGTATTAAGCATTTTAATTGGTTTCTGTTGCTTTTCTTGAATTGTGATTGCAGCAATTACAGTGTTGAAGGAGTAGTCGAAGAGGTGTAGGAAGTCATTGGGTGAACCAGTCTTGGAAGAATTTCTTCCAGTGAAGAAGACTCCAGTTGATGATGATGATGATGATGACATAAACAAGGTTTAGAATGTCAAGGAGAAAGACTGCAAAGAAAAGGTAAAATGGACAAGCTTTTTTAAGTTCTGGGACGGCGGCGATAAGGGTTGCAGCATTTCAGACTCTGGCACTGCAAAACACGGCCTAACAACAAATCTCAGAACAATGGTAAAACCACTATATGCAATCTGTTGAAGCTAATAAATCTTACATTTGTTTTTTTATAGAATCACAAGTTTGAGTTTTTGTTGGTTGAATTGGTTCCTTAGCAATTATTATGTCTGCTGATGAAGTAACATGGATTCAACCATGAATGAGTAATTGATGTGTTGGTTTACTCTAAAAAACAAGAAATACGGGGACATGATTGGATTGCCGAGCTTTGAAATAAGCTGATTCTTTGTGGATTCTTCGCACATGTATACTGAAATTATCTTCACACATGTATACGAAAATTATACGGAAACTATTTCTTGAATATTTATAAATCAATCAGAAACTAATGCCTGCATATTTACTTTATTATGAAGATGTTACATGCTCTGATGAAGAAGAAGAAGATGGTCTCCCGTTCTGCATACATGACTATCATTTTGGCGCAGAGATAAATGTTGGGAAATTAGATTCTACCATAAAACGCTTAGGATTCGGCTCTTGTTTTATAGAAAATAATGTTTAAATCTTAATTTTCACATATTATATAAGAAATTGTTTTAAAAATTATGCATATTGTAAATAAATGATTTTAATATGTTAATGTTTACATTAATGTAGAGTTGTTAATTTTAGAGTTTTACTCTAAAATTGAATGATAACTCAATTTGAGTTGAATGGTAGAAAGCTCTACACTGATTTGAGTTTGATGAGTTTAGTTTTAATTTTTTAATGTGTGTTATGTGCTTCTCAGCTAGGGTTAAAAATAGCAGCTCACGGATGTTCGTCCAAGAAGTGCTCTATATGCTTCCTAGCTTGGGTTAGTAATAATACTCAATTTGAGTTGAACCGTCGCCTTTTTAGTGCCAGAAGTAGTCTTTTCTCCAGAATCTTTGGATCTTCAAATTCAACATATGTTCTGCTTCTACACTATTTGGAGCAGCCCTATGTTGCTTACACTTAGCATGTTCAAGTAATCGTCTTCTGCTTTTCTTTTTCTTCTTGCAATTCACACTTTCCTGTTTGTAAGATCTTTAATTAAGAATTTATATGAAAACCAACCTTTATGAATGAATGTCCTATTGTATTTTTTCATTCTAACTGCAGGCTTTCTTTGTTCAATTAAACTCCACATGGACTCTAGAGATAAGGTACTAAACTCAGTTGGAGTCTACACTTTTAACAATTTTCTTTGAAAAGTTTAGTTTATCATAATGTGTTGTTCTGTGAGCAGGAACTAATGGAGTTTTGATACTTCAACCTAGACATATCAAAATTTCGATATTTGTAAGAATTTGGTGGGAAAAAGGAAAAACCAACATTTCTACACCCTATCTAGCGTGTTGTCTCCAACAACACAGTATCGTATTGTAACACCCTAATCTGTCCAGGTCTGCAGCCCCTTTCAGATTAAAGTATTAACTTGGTAATCGTAAAAATTTAAAACATTTCAAACACTTTTATTTATCACAATAATATTTTTCATAATATAAACAGTACGGAGTTTTCCATATTGCGGAAGCTTAACAATCATAATCACAAACATAATTTATTTATGTTCTTTAATTCAAAACCATCACATCCATTCCGACAATCTCGCCTCCGTCTGCCTCCAGGATCACGTCACTTCATTAACCTGCGTGTAGCAAATAAAACATACTACACGCTCAGCGTTGAAGCTGAGTAAGCATATCTAATGCATCAAACATCCATATAAACTGAATCTAAGTTCATAATCAAATCATTTGATATCATGCATATAATGTTAAGTTCAGATAATCAATAATTATTAAAAATTATTCATCATGCATTATTCAACATTTATATTCACATTCAATGTTCATCAGTCATTCATAATAATTGCAATATTCAATTCAATATTCATCATTCAATATTTACTCATATTCAATATTCAATATTCAATATTCAATATTCAAT